CGTGGCATGAACGACATCTATTGAAGCACTTTTTTTCGAAGATAACAGTTGAGACAACTTTTTAGTCTATACATTTATATACCATAAAAATTGCCCTCAGCCAATAACTAAAAATAAATAACAACAAGTTGAAAAGCAGTAAGTTCGCCAGGACCGAACTTTGAATACCCTCCACCTTTTGGAACGAATTTGGAGATAAAATCCTTAAACAATTTGTTAACATTTTAAAAATACCGAATATAGCCGTTATATTGGTGTTTATACGACGTGGACCTACTTGGGCATTGTTTGTCATAAGTCATTACCATATTCAAATTCAAAACTTGTAATAAACGGTGAATAATTTAGCAAAAATCATCATAATCATTCTGCCATAGGCTTTAGCATTCATTACGAACTTCAAATACGCGTCTCAAACAATTTCGGTGGGTATTGTACCTAAACTCGTCAAAATACCGCATATAGGGAGGTACCGTTATATGGGGGCTATACGAAGACGTGGACCTGCACAGATAATTTTCTGTCTTAAGCTGTAGTATCCATTTCGAACTTCAAATACCGAATTTGAAACAATTCCGGTGAATTATGTCGCTAAAATCATCAAAATACCGAATATCGGGAGATACCGTTATATGGGGACTATACCAAAAGAACAGGTAAAATTACGCAGGGTCAGAGGGAACTGATTCCACAATCTCGCAACTCTCACAACTACAGACGAAAATCTTGGAAACAGCAATTGCGGATTTCGAGCTGATCTACAAAACACAAAGTTATTATATAAAGGAGAATTAACAATTCTCATAATGACACATTCCTGTAATGACACAAAAGTAGGCGATATTCAACATATCTGTCAAAGGACAGACCAAGAAACTTAATAACATACTGTGTTACACGATCACTACGGTGCAACCCAAACACATACCTAACAATAGAGTTAACAAGTTTGCGTACGCGCAGAATTAGGCAAGCATTCGCCCCAGAGATGACTTCCAAACAATAGTTGACATGAGACATTAATAAAGATCTGCTACCATCACCCTAACACCTAACTATTATTAATTATTGTAATCACCAATGGCTTTCATATTTCTGTCTATAATCAGTATAACACACACTAAATATGGTATAGTCTTCACCCATAATATTAGAACTCCTGAATTGTCTTAGGATATTAGAACTTATTGGGTTAAGAACTGCCGATTAGTAATCCGGCTCGGAACTGATCTTGTACCCCACAAAATAAATCCAAGATTCAGGTAAAATTCGTAAACAACATATATTACTTTTCAAACTTTGGATTCAAAATCTAGGGAGTCGTACCTTTTGAACTCTTGACATTGGGTTCCTTTACGACAATAATTCATGTATTCCACGTTCCTTCATACATTTAAACACTATGCAGGGTTTAAATGTATATTGGGGGCAAATGTATGATTAATACGACTAGTTTCAAGTTTTATGTACAAATAGATCAGCTAACAAAAAATATTACTTTATTGAATCTCATACACACTACACGTAAATACTAATATTTAATCAGAAAGCTAATTTTTTCATCAGCAGATACATTTGCTGGTCCACTTCGAAGCCATGTAAATTATTGGCATCACCTTGCAGTCGCATCAACAGGCCACCGAAGGAAACATATGCCGATAGTCTGGAAGAGGCTTCATTGTGTGCTTCGTCGCCTTCTATGCGATACGTTTTGCCAAACATCACGTACTCAAAACTATCAGCTCTGGTACCTTCAGTTTCCAAGGGGTTATATTCACCAGTATCTGGACACCCATCTTCACGCAACGTGGTCGCCAAAACTAAACGAAATTTATCTCCCAATTCCATGGGATATAACCATGAGTTAATGTCCAATATCAAGTCCATTTTAAAGGATTCGGATTCGCAGTGTAATCTGGAGACACGATCAAATTTTTTGCCTTCTGGGTCCATATCCTTAACATTGAAGATGTCTTCGAACAAAACACCGGCCATTGCTAATCGCTGGAAGTGGTAATCACTCTATTAGGATATGGCAAAAAAAGATTGTTTGACAAACATACTTTCTTCAAGAGTGTCCAGTGTCCAGAGTGCTTCCAAGTCAGATCTTCCAAAAGTCGCGTGCAGTGGAGGTGGCAAACAATCGATGTCAATGTCTATAGTAACGATAAGATACTTTAAAAGAGGTTATCGATTTATCAAATTTCCGTACATCCACAATACAAGAATATCATTGATTTGTGAATTTATATTCAAACGACCGTGTGACCATGCTATAATTTCACAATCGATAATTTTTTATTTTATGTATTGTATCTTATAGCATGTTTCCATTGAAAACCGAACAACGTTGTTCGCTCTCAGAATTAGGTACACGAATTAACCCGTTCATACGGCACGATTCGTAATTCATAGTAAAATAATTCATTTTTTCAAAAATTTTGTTTGTTGATTTTAATGGGAATTTATATTAAAATACATTAAATTCTCAGTAATATGAGTAGAAGAAATGATTGTTTTTCTCCCAAAGATTTATTATATCATTAATTTTATAATTTTCATTCACGTTTCAACTTTTGTGTAAATGTTGACATTTTTAACATATTTTTGTATTTTTCTGTTTTTTAATTTTGCTGGAGAGACACTTGTCAAACATTTTTTCTGCCGATATAAACATTTTGAAAATATTGCCTCTTTTGTTTCCAGTTTCCTGTGGAAATTCCAACTCGTGGACAATATGCGTACCTCGGATGAGAGAGAAAACAAAATTTACTTTCGTTTGAATGTACATACGCTATTCAACATTGTAGTTTTCATTCATAAATTTCAGTCCAAAAATTTTTAAAATTTCATTAAATTTATCTAGTTTTAATTTTTAAATGTCATAATTTATTTTTTCGATAAATACTCTCATGTGTTAGAGATGGATCATATTTTTTCGTTGTTCTGAGAGTGATTTGATTTGAACAATGTACAAATATGAGTGTTCGCTCAGGAAATATTGTGTGAAGAATTAAGTAGTTTTTTCATAGTTAAGGGTCAAACAACGAATAGAGAGCGAATCAAGTGCAGTGGAAACGCCACATTACTTTCTTATTTCGACGGCGTCATAATTTTAATTAAGCTTTGTAGTTTGGTTTCTCCCGCTCCACCGTAAGATTTAATCGATTAAATGGGATTAATCGATTAATCGGGAAATTTGTTCGGAGTTGAAGGAACTTAGTCCCCCGGTTCATTTAATGAATGTGGCTAGCGGTTCGATTTCCTCATGTCTCATTCGTAAACAACAGAGATCCCTCGGGGATTTTGCTTTCTCGTTCTTTTTTATCGGGCATTTCTTTTTGATTTCTTATTTGTTCCGTTGGGGACGTCTTTCATTTTGGTTTCCCACGCGCTCATTCGATTACCAGATGAAATGTCAAAATTCATGCTTGAGGCGAAAATAAATATTTTCGCCTTGACAGAAGAATTTTGTGGCGAATATTCTAGTCGGGAAATTTGTTCGGTGGGTGGTCATTGTCGGTACGTAATTAAATAACAAATACAAGAAATATTAATTATTATATTGATAAAAGTGTGTGTAACACCACCGTGTGCAGAGGCAGTGAACTTGGAAACAATACTCTGCCCACTTTATCCATTTCGTTCTTAACAGCTGAGTGAGGGTTGAATTGCAAACAACCAACCCCCCCTTGCCAAAAAATATCAATTGGAATCAATCATGTTTGCTTGAACTGGAGTTTACGATTTTGAATTGAATTGTTTGAAGTCAGTAATGCCATGTAAGCAGAGCAATATTGGTGGAGAGATATACTGGTGTGTTTGTTCGATAATTCTAGCAATGCAGCTGCAGCACACAACGGTAAGAGAATATTTTAATTTCATATTGAGGTGGTAAAAGAAATTTGTATGTATTTGCATGCTTTTCCTTCATAAAATGGTGATTTTCGGAACGATATGCCTTTGCCTGAGTTTTCCCTAAATTGGTAGCATTTAGTCTCTTTATTATTACTAAGAAATCTTTAAACAAAAGACTGGTGACACAACTTTTGTTAAGCACAGACATCGCATGTACCTACAGTTCAATAATACATAGATATATATGCCTACATACTACATACATATGTACACTAGTCCTGATAACTGATAGCATATACATACTTACAGCTTATTAACCAAACACATTTTCTTTTACTCTATTAAGAATTGTCATCATGTGGCTAAAAATTGAAGAGCTACGGCTTCTGGGCGAGGGTTTAACCGACCGTACATAAAACAACATTCCTATTGTCAAGTCACAGAATTTAATTGTCATGTCTTGTCAACAATGAAAGTTAAAGCGTGCTGTTTGGGAGTGTTCTTCGCTATGTTGCATTGGGTTCAATGTTATTATTTTTCAAATATTGGAAATTTTTGCCCGGTCCCCGTAACACAAACATCTGCTGTGCATATGTGCCTCTGATTGAACAGCGATTTGCTTGGTCTGCTTGGTGTTATTCGTCTACACCCCTAAAGCGGTAGGGAACTCCATAGACTTTTTGTCCTCGGCAGATTTTTTTTTTTTAAATACATGTTACTCAAATTAGATCTTTGTTCTCACTATTCTCTTCTGTCAAATGTAATCATATGCTGACTTCGGCAACGTTTTCAAAGTCAGCCATATTTCCATACGATTCCTTTTTTCTCCTCCTTTGTTTTTGAAGCTTGCGAGTTCTACTTTTTTATATAAGCGCATTCAATTTGAATTTCATCAATACTTATACTCGTACAGAGCATGCATGTATTGTAGTGAATAGGGGCAATAATTAAATCAGTTTCGAACAGACGTTGTCGCAAGCGAACACTCTGAAATAATGCAAAAACGGTTGCAAATGGTTGTTTGGTGAGGTTATTAAGTTACGAATATCTAAAACTCAATGGAGGAACAGTTCTCTGTTGTTACCTTTGGCGTTGATATCTATCTAAGGTTCTTATCGCCGA